GAATTAAATGTATCAAGAGAAAATAAGTCGTACGAAAAAACTAGTGTAATTAGTAAATTTGTCAAATCATAAATACATACACCCTCAAATATATCATGCATTATGTCAACACTGTAATTTGTGGTTACATTAAATTCGGGAAGAACATTCCAAATAGTATTTGGCAAATACAATTCTTTTTAATGCCAGTTAAAGCTAAATTGTTCATATTTACATGACTTTCATAAAGTTGAGGGGTTCTAATTAGATCACCATTTTCAAAACCCGTTTTTCTCGTATCAGACTTATGCATTGTGCAAAACCGACAACAATAGTTGGCAGAAAAACTTTTTGTAAAACCAAGTATTGTATGCAGTCCAAGATTGTCCCCATTAATTAAACCTAACCTGAAAAATACTGTCTCTGTCTCTGTCCCATTTTTTACACAAATCCCTGATTTTTGCAATTATAGAAGTTCTTCAATTAATTTAGAAAAAATTGCCTTATTACCAAAAACTTTACGGTCATCTGAATAAAATAAAGTAAACAAAAAAATGTTTCCTAGTTGTGATATTAAATGAGCTGGCATTGACGGTAAGGTCACATATACTGCTCCTAGTTTATTTATTCCTGCATGGGAACCTAAGAGATTTCCCGTTTCATAATCGTCAAAAAACATAAAAATGGGGAAAACGGTCTTATTTTTTTTCCATAAATCGCATTGGACAAAATTACTTACAACCTCTTTTTCATTATACAAATCTTCCTGATATTTTTTCATTAATATTATACCCCGGCCTTTTCAAAGAGAACTTAAAACACTTGTTTAAGGGGTATTATTTTTGCAGTTACAGAAATGGTGTTTAACCCTTTCGCCACTGAATTGTTTTTTTCAGGAATTTTTTATTTTTTTTGCATTTGTGTATTAATAATAGTCTTCTTATTGAAAATCAATAGATTCTTTGATGCAAAATTGCTCTATTTCAAAATGGCGGCCATGGGACACTTTTGTCCCAATAGTAATTATCGCTGGGATAAAAGTGACCCTTCAGTAATGAAACATGATAGTTTGAAAATCAAAAATTTTATTTAGGTCTTACAAAGTTCAAAAATTTTAAGAATGAAATGGTAGAAAACATTTTTTGCATAGTGGCAAGTTGCAAGCAATACACATTGTCTTAGTTCGGCTCTCTTTTTTCTGTTCCGTACAACGGTAACATCTTCGTCTGTTTGAAATCTGAGTTGGAAGATGATCTTCAACATTCACCATATTTTTTTGCCTTTTAGTAGCTCTGCCAGTTCGACCGCTAAGACGCCGTTTGACACTCGCCTTTGATCTTCCCAAGTTTATCATTTGTTCAGCTAAAGGCACGAGATAGTTTAGTAGTGGAATTTTTTTGTGCTGGACTTCACAAAAAATTATCCAGGAATTTATTACACAAGCCATAAGCAATTTGAAAAACACTTTTTTCCACTACTTTGCAGATTTTCTGTCCAAATCGTAGGTCGATATTTTTTGATCCGCCAAGTCTACTCCCCCCATGTATTTATTGTAAAAAATGATTGCATCAGGACAAGTCACTTCACATTTTTCTCCAGTTTTTAGCCTTCTTCCAGTTACCCCCACGGAGGTGGAGTGACAATTTGACATAATCAAAACATCCTTGGTATCTTTCCACTTCACAGCCATTGTCCCCACATCATTTACAAGGAATTCCGAATCCCCCCTAGACATTTGATTTTTTTCAAATTTTGGCACATTTTTCCTGTTACACATGTAGGTACCGACACATGGAAAGTCAAGCTTATTCACTAGTTCAACACTAGTAAAAAAACGGTCAAAACACAAACAAACATCAGGTGACTGAATTGTATTACAAAGCTTTTTTATTACTCGTTCCCCAAGGGTTCCTTCTGTTGCTTCAGGTTCTTTTCCACAGTAGATATTGAAGTCATATATATAACCAGTCATTGAATCACATCTTTGCCATAATTTGATTCCCCTTTTCGTAGGTTTTAATGGCATATACTGCTTTAGGGAAGACCGGCCTTTGAATTTGACCATCGATTCGTCTATTGATTGATGGGAACTGTCACTTCTTGCTTTCTGAAACCTTATTTTCAGACACTCTACAACATCATCCACATAATATGTTTTGGAACAATTTTCAGGTTTTTTTGGGATTAGTAAAATAGAGTTTGGACAGCAAAAATGTGCATCTGTCTCGACCAATTGCCCCTTTTATAACCTTATTAGAAAGGGACTCGTTATTAGACCAGTAATTATAAAAACTTGGTACCCTGTTATATGACATCACCATTGTACATCCAAGCACTATCATTATTTCATACATATCTGTCTTCTGGGTATTTAGCTTTTTATTTTTTCAAGTAGATCAATCCTCTTGTTGGTACAGTCAGCGATATGCATAAGACGACTCCTGGGAAACATCTTTATAAAAATATCAAGTTCTGTAGAGTGTCTCCCCACATCCAAAAGAACTGAGCCAATTTTTTCATCTGGCAGATTCATTCTTGGAATAAAATTATCAATTGATGTCTTCCAGTTGATAATGCCAGGTGCTTCTTGACAATTTGGCTCCGCATCAGGTTCTTCCTCCAATATTTCTGATGACGATTCTGAATCTTCAGGTTCTTGATGCATACTTTTTTGTTTTGAAGCACTAGGAAGCTCCGTCTCCACCTCCACCTCATCACTGCTTTCTGCGCTTTCTGAATCGGGTGAATATTCTGACTCATCTGAACCTTCAAACGGCTCATTCTCTGAATCACTTAGATCTTCCAGGCACTTTTCAAGCTCACTTTTAGTAAGCGCACGACGTCTCATAGCTCTGTTTAAAAAAATAATATTTTTACTGCTGGGACCTTTATAACCCTTTTAAAATTACTGCTGGGACAAAAAGGACCCAGTAAGAATTATTTACGAATAATGGCAAAAATATAAGTAAAGTTAACATTTTTCACTTACCCACAACTTTCTACAAAACTTTTAATCCCGTGTGTATCACTAAATAACTGTAAACAGTATTATTTTCACAATAAACATATGCAACAGGTGCATCCATGTGCAAAAACCACAATAAACTAATTTTTAGGTTATGTAAGTCACATGTTTATATTTGCATATTCCGGCGTGAACTATAAACTACTGATAAAACTAATATACGCCCTATTTCGGGATTTATAAGAACCATTAGTAAAGATAGTTTACTTGATGGGACATATAGGTCCCCGCAGTGGCGAAATGGTTAATTCTACACAAGTAGGTGATGTCTTTTTTTCAATATTCCTATGACCTACTATATAATCGTTAGGTGGTATAAAATTATTATTGGATTTTAATAATTTTAGACACTTAAATTCTGTATTAAATTCGTCACAACAGGTCATATAAACACTAAATAACTCTGACAATAATGACATATCTAGATTTTTATCTTTTATAAAATGCTTTAGACTGCCAAAAATTTCGGTCATCATATTTTTTAGAGTATAAATTACAAATAGTACAAAACTCCGTGGCACTAAAGAGTTTCCATACATATTCAACATAAAAGTGGATACATCAGTAGTTATATTAGTTTTTATTGCCTTGAGCTTTTCTTTGTCTAGTATTGGCTTTTGGAAAAATTCAGGGAGATCTAGTGGCTCCGATAATTTTGTTGGCAACTTATTTTTCAGGCAGGAATGATCGGAAACGATATTATTAAACTCCAAAATATCAGGTTGATTATTTTCATTTGATATAGAACTAACGTGTGAATACAAATGTTTTCTAAATGACTGTGCAGTGGAAAATACTCGAAAACAAAAATTTTGTTTGCAAAAATAATTTGAAACTCCCCTAAGTAAATGATCATTTCTTAAATGGTTTAGTAATTGGCTTATTAACTAAAAAGACAAACTGCATTTAAAGCAAAAAAATACCGACATATTGACAGGTTATAGTTGGTATACGCAAATAATATTATAAACGTTAACAAACAAAAACATTTACTCTACTAATGCTATATCAGAAATAAAAGAATTTACTGAAGTATAATGTTTATCAAACTTGGTTTTAATGTTAAATAATGACTTCTGTATAAAAGTCCAAGAGACCTCAGCTTCATAAGGGTAATTTGCATTCAAAGCATTAAATACCTTAAAACATAGTTCGACAGCTTTCATAGGGGTCTCTACTTTATACAATGTCTCATTTATGGACACGTAGGCGGTCAATTCTTTACCAACAAGAACCGGTATAGGCCAGGCTGTCAGTTTAAACTGTGAATATTTGGCGGCTCTTCGTTCCAAAGCGGGCTTTAAATCTGCACTACACTAAAATAAAAAATTTAACACATTAAGGATACTGTTTGATAAAAATAACTAGAATTTAATAATTATTAAAGGAAAGGGGTCATTTAAGCATTGCCCAAACTCAAATGGCACACACCATACTGCATATGACATTGATGTGCTTGTAAATAAGCAAATATCTTGAAAAGGGCCAACTGTAAACAAGGCCGTCTAGAAAAATCAGGAACCCTCCTCCTCGGTGTTAATTAAATTTGCATGTATCTTCATTTTTCCCAAATTTAAAAAAATCGGTTGGAATCCGGGCCCTGACAAACAATGTAAGATTTGAAAATGATTTTTAGCAAAATTATTTCTTTTAAATCATTTTATAATCTTCTGAACACCACTCAATGTTTCGGGATTACCTAATTCCACAGACAGTCTGTGCCTAATACTTTTACCTAACTAACTAACAAAAGTTTCGTGCTAGGTAAAAGAATTCGGTAATGCCTAAATCTCTTGTGGTATTACATTCGAAAATAATTCGATATAGATAACCGAAACACGAAGCTTTATTTTTCAAAATTAGGCAATTATATATAATATTCATTTTTGCTCCAAGCTGTTTATCACGCAAAAATAATTTAATTTTTCCCAGGATCTACACAAATAAGTACTGGTCATCTTTATGACATACTGAAATGGTCCAGAAATTCACTCACTTTGTAATTCCACTTTGCAGGGTTTCCAGCGATCTGCTCCTTTGCCTTTAAAAGGCGCCTGAAGGAGTAGTGGCAGAGTTAAAAAGACAAATATCATCTAAAAATTAGAAAAAGAAATTAATAATCTAAACAACTAAAATATTAAAAAATTATATTGTGGAATAAGGAAGCTGAAAATTTCAAGAATTTGTACAAATACACAAGCATTTAAATCTTCCTAAAAACATATAAGCATACATATTGTATTTAATCGTTTGTTTATTAAAACTTAAGTTAAATTGAAATGTTACATTGTTGGGCCCCAAATATACCACAAACATTCTCATGTTCTACAAGTTTTATACAAGAAATATGTCGTCAATGGAATGACCTATCTTTGAAACACCCATTTATTTATCGATATATTTACCTTCAGAAGGAACATCATTGGATTCAAGGAAAGCCTTTACGTAGGGGAAGGTGGAGGAATTCTGCGCATCTAAGCAAAATCTCTAGTATCTTTGTTAAGTTTAAATGTGAAATTTTGCCATTAATACCAGCGATAGTCTACTATGTTTACTATGTGTTTATAATGCGCAATTTATAAAAAAAAATTGTTTGGTATGCAAAAACTACATTTTTTTAAATAGTGCATTTGCGCAAAATTACCCACCTATCAGGGTAATTTTGCGCACCATGTGGGGGAATTTTGCGCTGTAAAGAAAAATATTTTTAACTAAATAAACCTTTTATTTTTATAAAAAATAAACATAATAAAAACTATAAATAAAACAAAATATTTCTTCTATAAACATAAAATAAAAAATGAATAACTAAAAATAAAATCCTTGTTTTTGGATGGTCTACATCAAGCAGTTGTCACAAAGGTAGTTTTCTGGACTGTTTTTTCCACTACACTCCGCGTGTGCCCATGCTGAGCATCCCACGCACCTGTACCAAAGCTCTATATCTTGTCCGAATTCCCCACATACTATGCAGATATCTGTATTTGTTGGGTCCACATCGTCAATTTCATCGTCGTCACATAGCACATTTTCATCAACTTCCGACTCTGTTTCACTCTCATCAAATCTCACCTTTCTGACATGAGATTTGGTTTTTTTCTTCTTTTGGGGAATCTTCTTTGATTTTTGTTTCTTATTGCATTTGATTGCTTCTCTATTTTTTTCTTTAAGTCTGCTTCTTGTAAAACAACCTTCATAGGCGTCGATGTCAAAATTTCTGAGTGTTTTTTATTACAACTTCGCTTTCTTGTAGGTTTTGGATTTAATTTCGGCATAGGTAATATATCCGAAAAGGAAACATTCATCTTTGATGTTCCAGGTTGAGGATCTTCTTCAGAAAATGTTCCTGGTAAATCCGAAGCAATATTTGTTTGTGAATGAATAACCTAATCTTGGTGGTTGTTGCTTTGTGTATCATCCAGATTTGCCAAAAAGTCCACTTCTTCATCTTGAACTGGTTGGAAATTTTGAGCAGGATGAAAATCTTCTTCGCTAAATATATCCGGATTAAAGGGACAAATTCCTCCTGCTCTAAATCCAGAAATTGCTTTCTCCATCGTGGCAACTTTTAGGTAGGCATTGTTAAAAATGTCAGCTAATTGAAAATGTGTTATTCTCTCACGTGGATGTGATCTCATATACAAATCACACTCTCTATTGTAGGCGGATTTAAGTGGACCTTAAAATGTTAAATCCAGCGGCTGGAGCCGATGTGATGTATGTGGAGGTAGGGATACAAGCACAATATAATTTTTCTTGCAATAATTATATAACTCTAGGGATATATGGCTAGTATGGTTGTCCAGTACCAAGAGGACCGGATTGTCTTGACTAGGATTGACGTGACTTTTAAAGTGCTGAATCCACTCATAAAATAATGAATTATTAATCCAACCATTATCAGAGCACTGATATATTGCGCCAGTTGGACCGTTCTTCTTAAGCAGTGGATTCAATCGTTTTCTGGGAAAGATGAACATCGGCGAAATATATCCACCGGCTGCATTCATTGAACACACTATTGTAACAGTCCTTCCTCTTTCCAAAGAAATTACAGATCCAACTTGTTTTTGTCCTTTCGGACCTAAAATTCTTGAGGGTCTTTGGACTGTTGTTATTCCAGTCTCATCAACGTTGAAGATCCTATCTGCTTTGAATTCATATTTGTCTAATACTTTAGCGATGTTGGAAAAATACCGCTTGACATCGTCCTTAATAGAAATAAATATAGCCAATCCTTTCCAGCAAGCTCAGATTTCTTACAAAAATTGTTAGCAATTTGGTTGGTTTCTGCATATTGAAAAACCAGCTTCCTTAGTTCTAAAATGCTTATTCCAAAAAACATTTTAGCCAGTTCCAAAACATGACTGGCTAATTCCTTCTCTTGCTCTTTGGTGAAAATACCCTTTCTACCAAGTTTGAACCTCTGTCCCAATTTATGTTTGTAGCGGAGAGTAGCTTCGGGAATATTAAAAGCCCGTCCAACTTCCCTAATTTTGCGACCTGATTTAATAGCGTCCAATGCCTCTTTAAGGACGTCATTCGATGTATTAGCGCGATTGGGCTTTGTTCGTACATATGTTCTAGGCATCTGCAACAAATTAAACAAAACATTTAGTTTTAGTTTTAGTCTTAATGCTAACTATTGCGTCCCTTTAATTTGAGGTTAGGTTTATGATTAATATTCATTTATTAAATGAGCCTTTTATTTTTTTTCAATAACCACAAACCTAACTTCAAAACTAAGGGGTAATTTTACGCAGCGCAAAATTACCCCTATTGTTCAGCGTAAAATTACCCCAATTGCAAGCAAAATATTATAATACTAAAAAAATTTACAAAAATTATCCTAATTAATACAAAAAAACACTCATGTTAAGAAAACAGATCAAATAACGTTGTGTAATAAACATTTAAGCGATTGGACAGAAATTTAAACTTACCTCGTAACGGAAACGACACAGCTTTCTTACATCAACTTACATGCATCACAGTTAACTGGTCACTGGAATGCAAAGGCAAGCTGGATCGTGGTACCTCTTCGCGCGCGTATCCATGGCAACGTGACTAAGGCTGAGATATGCGCAAATCATATTATTTGCATCACATGTGGTAGAATCGTGTATGCGTAAAATTACCCACCGCGCAAAATTCCCCCACCTTCCCCTACTCTTTAAACAGCAGATCATTTTTCGATTTTATAATACTAAAAATTTTTGGTGCAATATCCAAATATTTTACGAAAAATATATTTTCCTCCTTTGGATACAGCTGATTAAAATCACTTTCGAGCTAAAAAACAAATCAATAATTTAAGACTGGTTTTATAATATTTGGGGCAAGTAAATAAAAATTGTATAAGAATAATAGAATTATTTTGAAAAAAGTTATATTCTACCCAAACAGAAAAAAATGAAGGCGATGAGAACGGCTCTACAAGTGTAGGATAGGCTATGCCAAACGTGTTTTAGACTATACTTCTTCTACGAAGACTTTTTGTTTAAAGCTCAATCTTGACGAACTTAATAATTTACAAGATCCCTGTAGGGCTTATTCTTATTCGGAACACCCTGTATAGCCTTTATAGTGCAAGGCTAAACGATAATTCATATTCCGGGGCTAATATACTCAAGCTGGCAACATACTTGAGGTTCGTAAAGGTGAAATTAATGGCGCCAAGGGTAGTTATTAAGTAACACAAAATCACCCGCGACTTTAAAATGCAGCTATATATTTTTGCGGAAATAATTGTTTTTCACCATTAACCTTTAACGTGTATTAAAGAAAAAAGTATTTGTCAAACAATAATAACAATTTTAAATGGATAAATTAATTGAAATACGTGTTATGAACAAATTAAAGGTAATGTCATTTAAATGAAATTGTTCGTCCCTGCGGGGTCACTTCGTGACATAGAAAGATCACGCTCGTGTCACAGCTTTACATAAAATGACAAACGAAATCACTGTGTCAGCAATGGAATATCAAGCTGTGACATGTCACGTCGTGACTTTTTCGTGATATCACAAATGTTTACTGGGAAATTAAATATAATTTAGTTAAGTCAACTGTTTAATAAAACGATTTTTCTTAGTGCAGTTTTAAAATTAACATTACAAATATTGCACTAAAACATAATAATAAACAATTAATTTACCTACCTTTTAACTGACCAGGGTTGCCAACTTTTTGAATTCAAATTACGGTACTATAGCTGGCAGGATCGTACTTACTAAATGGGGGTGCGAATTTTTTGGAGTAATATTTTGTGGCTCATGAATAGAAATAAATCTTCAAAAAAAATTGTTCATCTTTTTTAAACCCACATAGTTTTTTTTAAGAAATAAATTTATTAAAAATATTTAAGAAAGATAACAATCAATAAAATAAAGGATAAAATAGCAACACTAAAAAAATACATAAAATAACAAAATCATCATCTTTTTTATCACGAGTTGAGGTACCTTTTTGATATAGGTGACTTGTTGTCATTCTGTCAAGCATATCTTGTTTGACTACGACTGATATCTGAACACATTGTTTGGTTAATAAAGCACCATTCATTGTCTCTGTGATCAACTTACGTATTACTTGATTTAATTTTGATCGCATTGCAATTACTGAAAATAGGTTTACAAGCTACGTTTGAATGGGGTAAAATAAGTCTATTTATAACAAATAATGCCAAATCACGAAAAACCAAACTAACATTTTCATTTTTAAAATCGATCCATTTTCCCCAAAAAACATCTACATCATCACTAGAATCAGATGTTTCATCTGAGAACATGTACAGTGGCAACATTCTCCATTGATCGTCAATTGCAGGGTGGAAGAAGAAGGTGATATAGCTCCTATCTCTACAGTACAGAAGCAAGCGTCCAGATAAGTCAGTATTTCGTTTGTTGTTCGTTAGATGGTGAGTCAACTAAGAAGGAAGGTTTTACCAACGAAATCCATATATTCTATAACAACTTAACTTTTAACAACAAATTATAAGATAACGAAAACTCAAAGTCTTCTACCCTCCTTAACGAAAATTACATCTTTTCTTACAGCATTATTATAATAATTTGCAGAACTGTTCTGCCAA